AGCAAAGTCTTTTTCCCCTAGAAACTTCATTTTTACATTTTAGATAGCATTACTCACAAACCACTTGCGCAGGATCAGGCTAATTGGGAAGAGACCTGTTCTTGGGCCACATCTGGTGCCATATGAAGAAGCATCCACAGCTGATCCCTCATTAGAACGGAGTTATGGTCACGGGGTTGTGAATGCAGACGAGGGAATCCGAGCAACTTTCTAACCTCGACAGTGCTCAGAAATACTAGAGCATACGGAAAATTTTAAGCATTTCCGCCTCCTGAATTTCTAAAAGATTGATGTGCTTAGAAAGTCCACAGGGAGTGGCCTCCTCTGCACATCTCAGCTGTGCCCAACACAAGGAGTGTCCTCCTAAACCCCGGAGTCCAAAGCTTCCAGTTTTAAAGGAATGCTTTCTGCTGTGATGCCTTCTCTGGGCAGTCCTGCTCAGAATACAAAGATTCAAGAAGGCTCAGGTCCTCACTTGAAACAGGTCCCTGACAATGAGAAATAAGGAAGAACAACTCAGTCTTTACCTTGAATAAGTTTACAGTCGAGCTCAGAAAAGGGCAGAAAGTGGACACTTGAAGAAAGGACCATGAACAACTACTGCAAAAAAAAAAAAAAAAAAATCTAAACTTTTATTATTTAAAAAAGTGATTTGCTTGAGTGGGGTGCCTGAGGGGCCCAGCGGTGACCTGTGTGCCTTCTACTCAGGTCGTGACCCCGGGTCCTGGGACCTGCTTCCCCCTTGGCTCCCCGCTGGTGCTCTCTCGCCCTGTCTTTCCCCTTCAAATAAATAAAAGCTTTTCAAATAAGAAAAGTAATTTGCCTCAAAATGTCACGACCAATCCATACTTTGCTAGTCTGTGACCTCTCCCTCTTGGAAAACGGAAACACTGGAACCCAAAAGTGATCACTAATCAGTGCACGACGCATCTTACAAATGTTGGCGGAGGATCTCCTCCCAGCTGCAGGGCCGGCCTGGCGTCGGGGCCACTGACCCGCTGCGGGGCGACCCTGAGCGACTCCTCGTGCCCGAACCTCCAACTGGAGGCCGCTCCGCGCAGCCGCGGGGCCTAACGGAAGAGGAGCCGAGGGAGCGGTAGGCCCCGGGCGCGCCCCCGGGTCGCCAAGCTAACCCCTCAGAGGTTAAGCCGGAGTCGCGTCTACACTGGACACGCCCACCAAGTCATGCCAGACCCACATGTCGGTCCTCGTGGCACCTGCCACTCCCCCGGGCGGCGCCAGAAGCCACCTGCGGGCTGACCTGTGGGCCGTGCGGGGGGCGCGAGAGGCTCGGAGGCGGCGGCGAGGGCAGGGCCAGGCACGCACGTGGAGCGAGCCGTGTTTCCACGCGGACACGGACACGACATCCACGGGGTGGGCGGCACGGGGTCCCGCGGGGGGAGCTGGCCATGCTCGCCCCGGCTGCCCGAGACTCCACCACCAAGGCCACTGCATCCGGTGTCCACGCGGCCTACGGTGCGGAGATGCTCCGGCACCTGCACACCCACAGCTTTGGATCCCGAAGGCTCCTGGGGTGCCGCGCCCCCACCAGGGCGGGCACCCAGCACGCTGCCACCAGATGGCAGCTCCCAGGGGCAAGGGAGACGTCCAGGGGGCGGGGCACGAAGGGGGGAGCACGGGGAGGGGCTGGGCGGGGGAGCACGAAGAGGGGCGGGGTGGGAGCACAGAGAGGGGTGGGGCGGGGGAGCACGGGGAAGGGCGGGGTTGGGGGAGCACAGAGGGGGGCGGGGGAGCCCGAGGAGAGACGGGGGGAGCCCGAGGAGGGGCTGGACGGGAGCACGGGGAGGGGCGGGGCGGAGGGGAGCACGTGGGTCTCGCGGGGGAGGGGGGACACGAAGAGGGACGCGGGGGAGCACTGAGGGGAGCATTAGGAGGGGAAGGGTGGGCGGCATGAGGTCCCGCGGGGGCACAGAAGAGGGGCCCGAGGGAGCACGGGGGGGGGGGGGCGGGCGGCTCGGGGTCCCGCGGGGGGGCACATGGGGGCACGGGGGGAGCGCTGGAGGGAGCACGAGGGGCGGGGCGAGGGGCCTGGGGGTCCCGCGGGGTCACAGAAGAGGGGCGCGGGGGGAGCACCGGTGGGGGCACGGGGAGGGGAGGGGCGGGCGGCACGGGGTCCCGCGGGGGTCCCATGGGGGCGCGGGGGAGCACTGGGGGGAGCACGGGGGGGGCACGGGGAGGGGAGGGGCGCGGCACGGGGTCCCTCGGGGTCGCTGTGCCGGGAAGCTCCGGCCGCGGCCCCCGAGGCTTCCAGGCGGCGGCGAGGGCCGGAGAGGGCCGGGGTTGCCGCGAGCGCGCTCAACAGCCCCGCGCCCCCCGCCCGCCCCGCCCCCGCCAGCCTGCGCTCCGGCCGCGCCGCCGGGTCCGCGTTCCGAGGTCGGGACGGCGGGGCCGGCAGCCACCGGGAGGCGGCGCGGGGCGGGGGCGGGGACCGGGGCCGGGGCGGCGCGGGCAGGGGGAGGGTCCTTCCCAGCAGCGGCGCCGGGGCCGGGGCCGGGCCGGGGGGCGGGGGGGCGCTCCCGGCCGCGGCCGCCCGCAGACCCCCTCCCGCGGGGCCGGGGCCGGGGCCGGGGCCGGGGCCGGGCCGGGGCGGGGCGGGGCGAGCGCGTCAGCCCGGGTAGAAAAGGCGGCGGGGCCGGCGCGGGAGCCGACAGGCGCGCTCGCCCGGGGAGCTCGGCCCGACGCCGCCATGAGCGCCGCGCTCTTTAGCCTGGACGGCCCGGCGCGCGGCGTGTCCTGGCCCGCGGAGCCCGCGGCCTTCTACGAGGCGGGCCGCGCGGGGAAGCCGGGCCGCGGGAGCGAGGCGGGGGGCGCGGCGGAGCCGGGCGCCGCGGGCCCCGCCATGTACGACGACGAGAGCGCCATCGACTTCAGCGCCTACATCGACTCCATGGCCGCCGTGCCCACCCTGGAGCTGTGCCACGACGAGCTCTTCGCCGACCTGTTCAACAGCAACCACAAGGCGGGCGCGGGCGGCGCGGGGGGCGCGGCGGGCGCGGCGGGTGCGGGCGGCCTGGAGCTGCTGCCCGGCGGCCCCGCGCGCGCCCAGGGCCCGGGCCCCGCCGCCCCGCGGCCGCTCAAGCGCGAGCCCGACTGGGGCGCGGGGGACGGCGACGCGGCCGGCTCGCTGCTGCCCGCGCAGGTGGCCGCGTGCGCGCAGACGGTGGTGAGCCTGGCGGCCGCGCAGCCCACGCCGCCCACGTCGCCCGAGCCGCCCCGCGGCAGCCCCGGGCCCAGCCCCGCCGGCGCCGCCCGGGACAAGACTGCGGGCAAGCGGGGCCCGGACCGCGGCAGCCCCGAGTACCGGCAGCGGCGCGAGCGCAACAACATCGCGGTGCGCAAGAGCCGCGACAAGGCCAAGCGGCGCAACCAGGAGATGCAGCAGAAGCTGGTGGAGCTGTCGGCCGAGAACGAGAAGCTGCAGCAGCGCGTGGAGCAGCTCACGCGGGACCTGGCCGGCCTGCGGCAGTTCTTCAAGCAGCTGCCCAGCCCGCCCTTCCTGCCGCCCGCCGCGGCCGCCGACTGCCGGTGACCCGCCGGCCCGCGCGGGCTCCCCAACGACCGATACCTCAGGCCCGCGGCCGCCGCCGCCGCCGCCCCGCGGAAGCTACGCGACTCTCGGCCCTTAAGTTATTTTTATACCGGTAGCTTTTGGACACCTCCCTGTGGACGCAGCTAAGGTACATCCATCCGTAAGCGAGAGGACTTTCCGGACTAGCCCCCGTATTGTAGATAAGACGAAGCGACGGAGCATGCTCACTTTTTTATATTAATTTTTACGGTATTTGTAAGAATAAAGCAGCATTTACACCCAGCCCTGACTCCTGTGTTCGCCCGGGAGGCCGCGCCGGGGGCACGTCCAGCGCCGAGGCCGGGAGGGGCCCCAGCTCCGCGCGCCCCCAGGACACCCCGCGACCCGGCTGCGGCCCCCGCCCGCGCGCGCTCCTGGACGGCGACCCCCGCCCCGGGAGGCCCGGTCCCGCCCGCGCTCCTGGACGGCGACCCCGCTGCGGCCGACCTAGCGCGCTCCTGGACGGCGACCCCCGCCCCGGGAGACCCGGCCCCGCCCGCGCTCCTGGACGGCGACCCCCCCCCCGGGGGCGACCCGGCTGCGGCCGAGCCAGCGCGCTCCTGGACGGCGGCGGCCTCCTTCCCCGCCCCGGGGCGCCGGGCAGCTGGAGCTGGGGGGGGACTCGGGGAGCTGGAGGGGCTCGGGAACAGGAGCCGAGGGCGCCCCGGCGCGGCCGCTCGGGGCAGAGGGGTGGCGCGGACCTGCGGGCCGACTGGACACCCCCCTCCCCGCCCCCGCTCTCCGGGGACCTTGCTTTCACTTTCCTCATGTGCTGCTTCCAGCACATTTTTAAAGCGGCTGTGAACACAGAACAGCCCTGCAGCAGATGCCAAGGCCGAGAGCCACGGCGACCCCCGCCCTGCCCCGAGGACGAACAGCCTTGCTTTCTCCCAGCAGAGCAGGCTCTAGGCACCCTTTCCCGCTCCAGCCGGCCGGGTCTGCGTTAGGTCATTAGCCGTGGCCTAATCAGGACGTTGCTATGATAAGGGAGGAAACAAAATCTGTTGTCTAACTTATTGATCGCTTTATGTTCACTTAAACCTCTGCCAACAAAGCGAATGATCCGCAGTCGCCCCTCTTGAATCTGCACCCAGCATGATGCCCAGGCCTCCCCTGACCTACCTGTGCCTCTTCAGCACAGCGATAACCACGGCAGGTACGTTATCTCTACTTTATGGGTAACCGTCCTTTTACCTCGACATAGTGCCCCAGAACATTTTCCCCAAAACACTGAAATGCAGAATGCTTCTGTTGGCCACGCATCGTGCAGCAGAACAGTACGGTCTCAGCTTGGCAGGGCCGTCTTTGGGACAGTGTTAAATAACTACAAGAAAAACATGTTGAATCATGGTAATAACATTTAAGCATTTAAAAATGACAAGTTAACAGATTTCTTGCTGTTTTAATATTACTGCCTGAGACGAAATCCAAAATGATGACCTCAGGTTTATTTCAGTTTTAATAACATGTTCTTAATTTTGCAAAATGACAAAAATATAACTAGAAAAAAAGTATTTTGATGTATAGTTTACTAACATATGCCCCAGAAATCACTGAGTTCCATTTCAAAAGCATACAATACACTTGCTCTGCCCACAGTTAACAAATAACTACCTAAGCCACTACCACCTCCACCGCCAGGGCGACTGTATGGCAAAGTTCATAGATCCTATGGCCGCGGGCAGTGTCCCGAAGAGGCTCTTCCTGTACTCAGGAGCTCGATTTCCTCCAATCCAACGCAGCTAGCCGGGTGGGTGGTGATGGACTGGACAAAACAGTTCAACAGCCCCACCTCCTTCCCGAGGACACTCTTCACTTCGTAACTCTGCAGTGATAGAAGGCATGCTGGTTAAAGCAAATAGAGCTGGCCCTGGACGTTCTGTTCCCAACAACAAAGAACACCAAAGAGCAGAGCAGAAGGTCCTTTCCTCAGTCTGTGACCTTCCACTTTTCAAATGGTAAGAATAACATGGATAAAGAAAAAAGCTAAGGGCTTGATAAAAGCTCTATTATGGCAAATGAAGGAAGTCCTTTTTCTGATGTTTGTTAGTGGATGCATCGACAAGCATGTCCCAGCTGGCTGTCCTAGGAGAGGAACTGGGTACAGACCTACAAAGGGACAGGCCCTGTTCTCTAGCAGGAAGACTGGGGGCTGGGCACGCGTCATGCTTGCAGCTGTCTCCCACTTCCTTTGGGACACTTCCCCAATCTAGCAACACTTCTGGTCAAAGGATTTCCTGGTACTTTGCCCCAAGCCTCCCTCTTTAATAGGATCCCATTTCTTCTACAGTAACACTGCGCTAAAAATTGTCTATGTCATAAAGAGCTTTTTCTTCACATTGTTTGATGAGTATCTTACGCTGGGCAGGCTTCATCTCTAGATGAGAACTCGGGGCACTGGACAGCGGGGGTACCAGATGACCACACCAGGAAGGTACGCAGGCCCCCCGTGGTCTCCAACCTCAACATTTCCTTCCTGGGGTGGGGCTGAAAATAAAGAGCGGCTCAACTGTGTCGCGATAAAGCACATCTGTGGCTTTACCAGAGACAGAAGCCCAGAAGGTACTGCATTCTTTCAGAGACCCCTCTGCTGCCAGTTGCAGAGCAGTCTCGGGGGTACCTCACTTCTCTGTGCAAGACACCTGACACGTTCTCTGTTCAGTACGTTTTAGCTCACCTGTTCCACCATTACTGCGTCTTGACAAGAGGGACTGAGGCTGGAGGCTCCAACATGTCCAAAGTTGGCACATGTCTGCGGCTCCGTGGTGCCCTCCCATCAAGGATGGGCACCTCACTGCTCTCCCCATGGATACTGGGCTGGGCTCAGTGACCGCGTCTTCATGCATGTCATGAAGAGCGTGGTGGAGGGGAGACTGCGAGCGTCCCCAGCTTGGTCAGGACAGTGCCCAGCCTCTGCCTGCCTGTCCCGGGACCCACACACATGCCCTGAGGGAATCCAGACTGCGTGGTGTCTGGCCGGAGCCCGGGAAGGGCCAGGCAACAGGAGTATGAGAGCCGGCGAGGGGCTGAAGGGCACGGAGTCTCAGCCCGCCTTCGGGGTGCCAGCGGATGTCCTGCGGGGCAGAGGCAAGCTGTCCGGGCTGACCCCTCCCGAACCGCAGGTCTGCGTGCGGAGTGAGCTTTGGGACCGCCTGTTGTGGAGCAGCTCAGATCAGTGTGGGATGTGAGCCCAGCCCTGACACCCAACCACAGTGATCACTCTGCTTTCCTGTCCTTTAAGTCCAATAGGATCTGCAGAGTCCAGGCTGCTTTGCTGAAAAGTCAAGGAAGGTCAGCAGAGCGGTTTAATGGGGGGCGCGGGGAGTCGGAGTTGTCCCAACAAGTGAGGAGACACGTGGCCTGCCTCCGCCCGGTTTGCTTATCAGGGGCCTGACCTGAACAGCTGGCAGAGTGCCAGGCCACCGGTGAGGAGCCCCTGCGGGCCATGCAGAGCGGGGTCGCCGTCCAGGCCCGGGGGCCTAGGTGGCCGGCGGGTCCCTGCCGCCTCCTACCACCGCAGCTAGCCTCACGTCCGTGTGTGGCCGAGCACAAGGCCCAGGCACTCCCACCCTCCCTCGGGGTAAAAGTACAGAATTCTAACTTGAAAACGTCAGCAACACATCATTTCTTTTTACCACGTCAGGTTTTGCGGCTAAAGTTTATAATAACCATATCATAGCCAATCCCTTTTCTTCCCCAAAAGCTAAGGAAACAAACTCCCAATTTCCTATCACCGTCCGTGACAGTTGAGAAATGACATTCCAACAGCAGCAAACCCCACTGCTCTCTGATCTGCGGCGTGAGCACACTGAGTTCAGCCCCTGGACGTCCTGCCCAGAGACGGTATGTCTGTTCTGGGGCCCAGAGCCACTGTTCTCGTGGGAAGCCTCCTGCGAGTCCTCGGCTTTTGGCCAATGGGCTTTCTCAGTCCGGAAACAGTCCGCATCGCGGGGGGAACACTTGTGCTCACGCCGCCCATACCCACGTTCCAGCAGCTCCCTGTGGGCCCGGTGGGGGGCCCGATCACCCACTGTGACAAACTGGGGGACGAGCCGCGGAACCTCCAGGCCTGCAGCTACCCTGACTCAACGGGCATCAGCTCTGGTGGGGGAGCACCCCGCAACGTGCCCCCTTGTGCCCCTCAGCCCGCGCACGGACACGCACAGCACACACCGGTCACACCCGTGGGCAAATCCGCCCGCACTCACACACACACCCGCACACATACCCTCGTGAGCCCTTCATAAGTAGGCTCAGCTGATGCGCGGACTGGAGGTAAGAATGTTCTGTGAGGCAGGTACAAGTCAGCCTCGGGCAGAGGGCAACCAAGCAAGGAGGGGGGATCTCTGCGTGGCCCCTCCTGGTCTCCGGGCCCCTGCAGGGAGGCTGGGCGCTCCAGGCCAGGGCACGGCTGGAGGATTCCCGGAGGAAGCACCAGGCTGCTCTTCTGGGGGCCTGCGAGGGCCCAGCTGGGGCCACCCGAGGACGCACCTCTGCTGCGGGGACTACAGGCAGCGACACTCATCCCAAGGGCTTCTTCTGTTTAGGTTGTGGACTTGGTTCATTTGCTAAGTGCTCCTCTTAAGCAGAAGTTTTCCCCAATACTATCCCCCAACTTTTCCATGGAAATACCTTCCCCGATCACCGGGATCTGCCATCCTTAGCACCTGTTGAAAGCCCCCTCCAATCCAGGAGCCGTGCCCTACCCAGCATCACGCCCTTCTTTCTTCTTCCTGTCCCACCTCGAAGGCTAAGAGACGAGGTGACAAGGGACCGTCAACAGGCACCATGTCTCATCAGGCATTAGACACACGAGCTCCAGGAAGAACAGGGACCTCCGTCACACCTCCCCTACTGTTAGGTGGTCACCTGTGGATGACGCTGTGCCCGACAAAGACTGTGACTGTGAGCGCTGCGCTCCTGCTTCCTGGTGGGACAATGTGGACTGAGCATCACTGGGTAACATGTGACAACAGAGCTGAGCACAGTTCTCCATCCGTGATTATAGTGATTTGCTTATATTTTAGTTGTGAACCATCAGGGCATATTGGCTCCTAAACCCTCCTCTGGCCTGATCTGAACACCAGCCCCTACACTGAACCGGCCCCACAGATACAGTTTTGGTGCTGGGCCGGGTAGTCACCGAGGGCTCTAGGGAGCTATGCCCTGGCTGCTGGGCTTTCTCCCAGGGAGGGAGCCAGAAACTCTTTTTAGAACTCCACAGGCAGCTCCACCCAAAAATCAAGGTTGGAAACTATAGTCAGACCAGTGATCTTCACGGATTTATCCACATTCCAATTTAACCCCAACTCTGAGAGCCATGGTTTTGAGGAATGAGTGCAAATGGCTGCTCCGCCTCCTCCTGCTGCCAACCCTCCTAAGGGCAGGGCCGGCAGGCATGGAGACAGGGAGACGGGAGCCCCCGGTGCCTCCAGAGGATGCATGACATCAGCCTCACGTTCTGACTGCCATGTGGCCAGGGGACCCATCAGAAGGCTCTGCAACTTCACCACAGCCTCCCCGGCTGGCCCACGTCAGCTACTTGGGTTATGTGCACCCTAGTCCTGGCTCCCGGGGGCTATGCCCTGGCGTCACCCCAGTGGTCAGCCCCAGGGCTCTTCTCTGGGGTTCGACGATTCCACAGGCCACTTGTGGTGCTTTTAAATGGTTCTGACAAGACAGAGGTGGCACCTCAAGGACAGAGCTCCCTTGTTTACGAGGGGCATATTTCACAAGGAAGAAACTGTCTCTAGACCGTAAGTCATATATATTTAGGTGGTGGTTTTCTTGGAGGAGCACACCAGTTTACTAAGCCTCACACCATAGTAACTCTCAGGGCAGGCAAAACAGTTCTGAGAAATAATGGTCAAGTTTCCAGTTACTCAGACTCTGGAATACCCAGCAATTAAAAAACACAGAATGTGTGTCTCAGATATTTGTGTTCTATTAACATGAATCATGACTGTAGCCCTTGAGATGCTGCTGGCCTTCCGACCATCAAAGCCAGGGGGGCAGATTCACGCATCTGCTGCAAGGCTGTTCAGGAAGTCGCCTCGATTCCAAAAAGGAAAGGCTCTCACGAGGAGATACAGGTACCTGCCAGGGAACGACGGCAGGAAGACTTGTGCACGTGCCGTGTACACTAGACACTTAGCCCACACACGACTGCATCGTGCCCTTTGTTGTAAGTGAAAGTTCACGGGACAGGCGGCTGCACCTGGAGATGATCCACCAACCTGGGGCTGAGGAACACCGGGGTGCGCGCCTGGGCTGCACTCACTGGACTTACCCCATCTTCGCAGGCGGCCAAGCTCAGGAGTGAAGCAATGCTGGTCTGGGACAGCTGCAATCACAGTGGGGCGGGTGCTGAAGCTCCCAGGACGCAGGCAGCGCTGCGCCCACGCCTGGGGGCTGCTGTTCAACCTAAACCACCTTCAGCTCTTCAGCAGCTTCCACCTCCGAGCCTCATGTCATACGTGACTGTAGGCCACAGGTGTGGAAAGACTGCGTTGGGGGTGTGTGGCCTTCCCACCCCAGCCCCGCCCCGGGAAGGGGCAGAGGGGCCGCCCTCCCGGCTCTGGCTCCGGCTCCGGGCACAGCAACTCCCCCAGGTGGAGTGGGATGCGCACAGGCCCCCATCCGCTCCTACCTTGACCCGCACGGCGCACTGGGGCCGAGTCGGACAGTCCAGAAACACCTGCAGGTGCCTTCTGAGGACAGGAGAGGTGACCACACGGGAGCAGTCCCCACAGCAGAAGGCGCCTCTGTGGATTGGAAGCACACACAGAAGGTGGGACGTGCAAGGGCACAAACAGAAGAGCCTGGCCGCGGACAGACATCCTTCTCTAAACACGGGGGCTGCTCATACAGAAAGGGGGGACTTACTCTCAGAAACCAAGTTCCTGAAATAGCCCAGCCTGTTCTGAGGGACCAGCGGCAGTTCCCGGCTACTGGCTGCCCGGGCCACGGACGCCCGGGGGCCGTGTGGAAGGGACGGCGGGGCGGGAAGCCCCCCACGTGGGGTGTAGGGCGTGACAGCAGCGGGGCGGCCCGCAGGCCGGCTCAGGGCTTCCCACCGGCCCCCCAGGGGAGCCTACTTCTGATGGCCGGCAGCTACGCGCCTTGTTGCCACCAGGGAATGTGTGACACATAGGCTTCCTGTCTCCTCAATGCTCCAGGGATGCCTCGTTTACGTGTAAGGCTGCCAACCCAGGAGGAGTCAAGACAACACTTGTCCTTTAGTTATTAAGAAGCAGAAAAGTGACAAGCATACCCCCTCCTGGGTCAGGTGACAAAGTTCTCGGAGACTATGCAACATCCATAAGCCCTGGGGTGCAGGGGGACCCCCAGCAACGCTGGGCGGGGAAGGAAGGTCGTGCCTGTAGCTGTGCACTGCCCCTGGACAGTCTGCGCTCTGTAGGGGACAAGCGGTCCCCTCACCAGCTTTGTCTCACTTATCCAGGTTTGCCCTGAGGTTTTCTTTTTTCTCCCAACTGCTAATAAAGGAGCTGAGTTCAAAACCGGACTCTTTTCTCTTTTAGGATAGGAAGAACCTGAAGAACTGAAAAGGATCCCCAAAAACCCCTGCTGCAAAGGAGCGAGCACATAGTGCCATGGCCTCTTGGCAGCAGCGCAGCTACCCGCTTCCCAGGGGGGTGCCCCCGGCCGAGCAGGGAGCTGGCTGGAGGCAGCCGTGGGGCTCGGGGGGGGGGCTCCTGCAACTGGCTGCGGCCGCCCTGGGGTGTCCCAGGCCAGCCCCTGCACCCTTACCTGTCTCCCGGGCTCTGGTCCAGTCTCTCGTTGCCGCACAGGTCGCACGTGGGCCATGAGAAGGCAGTGCTCTCGTCCACGCCAACCACAGTGCCTGGGCCCGAGTGAAAGCAGAAGCTGCAGCCCCAGAGGCAGCGTGTCCCCTCTCACCTTCTCCTTGCCCCTCAACGCCTGGGTGGTACCGTGAGATTCCCCAGACTTTCTCACATATGAGTTCATTTCAATGTTCCCAAGTTTTTTATAATTTCCATGTACTGCACAAACAAAACTACAACAATAAAAAGTAAATCTTAATACTTGCCCACATTACTACCCAACCGGGAATTTCTATCCCGCCTCATCCTTTCTAGTCTTTTCTTCCAGATGCACACACACTAAGATCATTATACGCAACCGTCCGGGCACTGTCTCTGCAGGCTGCTGCAGAGCTGCCGTAAGGACTGTCTCATTGATATTTCGTCTAGGTGACGTGTCACGGTTCACTCCACACTGGACATACAGGTCCACATAAGCCTCTTCTGTGCTGAGATACCTTCTTTAGGATAGATTCCTGGAAGCAGAATCGCTTTGTCAAGACTGTGAGTATTGGAGATACAGGAAATATTCACAAAGACCAGATCTGATAAAAGACTGCTATCCAAAATATACAAAGAAGGGAAGTCGCAGAGGGAAAGGGAGAAGCAGACTCTCTACTGAGCAGGGAGCCTGAGGCGGGGCTTGATCCCAGGACTCTTGGGGTCATGACCTGAGCTGAGGGCAGACACTTAACCAACTGAGCCACCCAGGTGTCCTATACACAGAACTCTTAAAAAACTCAACAACACAAACAATCCAATTAAAAAATAGGTCCAAGACCTTCAGAGACACCTCACCAAAGATGATATAAAAATGACAAATAAGCATATGAAAGATGTCAAATATTATGTCATCAGGGAAATGCAAATTAAAACTAGGAGAACACCAAAAAAAAAAAAAATCCAAATGATGCAATTAAAAATGGGTAGAGGACATGAATAGACATTTTTCCAAAAAAGACATCTGCATGGCCAAAAACCACATGAAAAGATGCTCAACATCACTCATCATCAAGGAAATACAAAATCACAATCACAGTGAGATATCACTTCATCTGTTAGGATGGCTAAAATAAAAAGATGAGAAATAACAAGTGTTGGCGAGGATGTGGAAAAAAGGAACCCTAGTCCACTGTTGGTGGGAATACAAACTGGGGCATCCACTCTAGAAGAGTATGGAGGTTCCTCAGTAAATTAAAAATAAAAATTCTATATAATCCAGTAATTTCCCTACAGGGTATTTACCCAAAGAAGACAAAAATACTGATTTGAAAAGTTACATGCATGCCAATGTTTACAGCAACATTATTTATAACAGCTAAATTATGGAAGCGGCCCAAGTGTCCATCCATAGATGAATGGATAAAAAAGATGTGATATATATATACATATGTGTGTGTGTGTGTATATGTGTGTGTGTGTGTGAATATTGTTCAGCCATAAAAAAGAATGAGATCTTGCCATTTGCAACAAAATGGGTGGACCTAGAAGGTATTATGCTAAGTGAAATAAGTCAGAGAAAGACAAATACTCATATGTGAAATCTGAGAAACAAAACAAACAAACAAGAAACAGACATAAACCCATAAATACAGAGAACATAATGGTAGTTGCCAGAGGTGGGAGGAGTGAGGCAATACAGGCTTCCAGGAACGGAATGAAAGTCATGTGGACGAAAGCTACAACATAGGGAATATAGTCAATGGAGCTGTAACAGAGCCGTATGGTGACATATGGTTGCTACATTTGCAGTGAGCGTAGCATAATTATAAAGTTGTCAAATCACTATATTGTACATCTGAAACTCATGTAACACTGAGTCAACCGTACTTCAATATATAAAAAACAAAACAAAACATTCAACAATGAGACAACACTTCACACCCATTGGAACGGCCAAAATCCAGAACACTGACAACACCAAATTCTGGTAAGGATGTAGAACAACAGGAACTCCCACTCATGGTTGGTGGGAATGCAGAATGGTATAGCTACTCTGCAAGACCTTTTGGCAGTTTCTGATAACACTAAACACCGTCATACCATATGATCCAGCAATTGCAGTTGGTAGTATTTATCCAAAGGAGGGGAGAACTTACGTCCACAAATACAAATACCCTGTATAAAGATGTTACCTTTCTTCTCAATTGCCACAATTTGGAAGCAACCAAGATGTCCTTCAACAGGTGAATGGATAAATAAACATGGTCCGTCCAGACAATGGAATATTACTCAGCACTTAAAAGAAATGTGCTTTCAAACCATGAAAAGATATGGAGGAAACTTCATGCACATTGCTTAGTGAAAGAAGCCCGTCTGAAAAAGCTATACACTGCATGATTCCAACTACACAACATTCTAGAAAAAGCAAAACTATATATACAGAAGAAAAACGAAACTATAGACAGTAAAAAGATGAGTGGTTGCCAGGTGTTAAGGGGGAGGGAGGGATGAGTAGGTGAAGCAGAGGACTTTTAGGTCGGTGAAACCATTCCGTATGACACCATCATGACAGATACCTGTCATACGTTTGTCTAAACCCACAGAGTGTACAACGCCAAGAGTAAACTCTAATGTAAGCTCTGGACTTTGGGTGGTGGTGATGTGACAATACAGGCTCATCCACTATCACAAACGTACCACCTGGTGGGGGATGTTGACAGCAGGAGATGGGTGTGGGGAATCTCTATTCCTTCTTCCTCAACTTTGCTGTAAACTTAAAACTGCTCTAAAAGTAGTCTATTAAAAACTATCATGAAATAAATGCTAAATTGAGAAATGGAAAAGGCCCCGGGGAGGTAGAAAAGAGAGGCCTCTGTGCTAGCTTGAGGTCAGGGAAGGGTTCCCAAAAGAAGAGACATGAGGTGGAGCTGCATGTGGGGTGGAGGGCATAGGCTGACCCTGCACCCTGAGGCAGGGCTGGAGGCCAAATGGGCATGAAGGACAGGCAGGTGACATGGCCGCGAGGTTGGGAGATCCAAGTCACCCAGGGTCTTACTGAGGATTTTGGACTTGGAAAAAGCATGAGAAACCAGTGAGGAATTTTAAATAGGAGATTGAGATGATCTACTTTTCTTGAAATATATAGCATTACAGATATCACCTAGATATACCGGCAAATCACAGACCATTCCTGTTGAAAAGTGGTGAAATTAGACATTTGAAAAGAAGTAAGATGTGACCTAAGTTTCCAGAAAAACAGAAGAATCATCCCTCCCACTCCTGGAGCAAAGAATTTTCATTCCCTACTAGAACACGCATTAGGAAAAATTTATCTGTAGAGTATAAAACAATTGTTACAACTAAGTAGGCTTGATTTACTACAATGCATTCATGCAATGCCTACTTGAATGACTTTTTAAAAATGAAAATAATAGATCTTGATTTTGAAAAGGCTGCCCCAGCTAATTTCATTGTCCTCGCAAATCTAATCAAGGCTGAGTCAAAGGGATGAAAAGTAAAGTCAATAATGGCTTATAACACAGCTGGAAAGAAGTGTTGACCAATTCACAGCAGGCAGCGGCATAAGCAGGGCCAAGGATCCCAGGGGTGTGTGTGCACAGCAGTACTCAGTGTCTGCTACAGGAACTAAGAGGGCTACCAACTGAAGTTCTTTTTTATCCTCGGGTATCTTTGGGTGTTAACTGCATTTACATTTAGATGGGATTAAGCAATTTCCTTCTAGTAGAGAACAACACACAGTTGAAGAAATTTATTTCATCTGGGGTCTACACACCACTGGAAATGCCTTCTGGCAACTCTAAATAAATTCCAAGGGATGGCTGGGAAGTGTACTATTAAACTGTTAGTATCTAGAACATTCATCTAAATAAATATTATAAAGAAAAAAATTTTGTTATAGTTTAAGGACTCTAATACCACACCCATCATTTGACTGCAATCTGCTATTTGTTTATTTTTAAAAGATTTTATTTATTCATGAGAGACACAGAGAGGCAAAGACACAGGCAGAGGGAGAGGCAGGCTCCCTGTGGGGAGCCTGATGTGGGACTTGATCCCAGGATGGAGCAATCTGCTATTTAAAAGCTTTTACACTTTCCTTATCTTATTTACAGAAATCTCTTATAATTAGGCTTGAGAAAGGTATATGACATATTTATTAAAACATCTTTTTAGAAAGGTTCTTTCAAAGGCTCCTTCCTTGAAAATGCAGTGTCTCCCTTCTAGTAGAGCACATAGCAGCTACATGCTCTGGTATTTTCTTCAGTTACTTTTATTTTTTAATTTATTTTACTTTTTAAAAGAATTTATTTATTTATTCATGAGAGACACAGAGACACAGAGAGAGAAACAGGCAGAGACACAGGCAGAGGGAGAAGCAGGCTCCATGCAGGGAGCCCGATGGGGAACTCCATCCTGGGACTCGGGGATCATGCCCTGAGCCGAAGGCAGATGCTCAACCATTGAGCCCCACCCCCACCCTTTTTAAATATTTTATTTATTTATTCATGAGAGACACTCTTTAGTGACTTTTAAATCTCCACCACACTGTCCTCTCCCACCTTTTTTTTTCTGACGGAAAGAAGTTGGGGCTCAGCAGTGTTTCCTTCCAGTTAGAGGCTAAAGCCTGGTTTGAAGATAGGAGTTGGCCACGCCTCCCCAGGGAGACAGAGTACAAAGGTGCCCTTGCTGAGTTCATGCCCACGGAGATGAGCAAGCCCATCACCCACTAGCAAGGGGTATGTAAAGAAGGGGCAAGCAATGCAAAGAGATAAAAATCAGTGCTGCAAAACTTTGTCATCCTAAAAATATAAACTGGGAAGAAGTCCTTGCATAGTCTGGATGCTGATGTTGGGGATATGAGCTGAGAAGGCCTGGCAACCCGAGGGAAGCAGTGAGCACCGTCCCGTCATAGAGGCTCCATTTCCTGGGAGCACTCATGCAGATGGACAGATGTTACTCTGAGCAACCTGACTCACAGGGCTGTACTCTGAGTTTGTTCAAACTCTGCGCAGGGAAAACACTCAATGTTCTGCAATGTCCACAGCACTGCTGGAGA